TAGATAGATAGACAGATAGATAGATAGATAGATAGATAGATAGATAGATAGATAGATAGATAGATAGATAGATAGATAGATAGATAGATAGATAGATAGATAAATAGATAGATAGATAGATAGATAGATAGATAGATAGATAGATAGATAGATAGATAGATAGATAGATAGATAGATAGATAGATAGATAGATAGATAGATGGGCTATTTGCTTACTATAAATTGATGATCAAACATGCTAACAGAAAGTAACGATTCATGTCACTAATTTATTCCACTAAAACTGTAGTTGCAGAGATACTCATATAATCAACAGAATGTTTAAGGGGTCTCAGAAAAAGAACCTGATATTCACATTTTTCTATTTCAAAATGCAATCCCCATGTGATATAGGAACATAGCACAATGTACTTCACTGGATGCACACTCTGATTGTGTGTATTCATGAAGGACAGGTCTTGTCTGGCTGGGCATTCAGTGCGACTGTGACACAACAAGTAGCTGGTACAATAGAACCAGAGCCAAGCCAGAGTGGAAAATGGTGCTACTTTCCGCTACACCCAATTAGATCTGGAATCCATAGCCTCATTAGCTGCCCCATGCTGGAGGAAAACCCCACTCACCAAACATACCTCTGCTCCTAACGAGACTCCCTCACTTTATATTGAGCTTCCAATTACCTTGTGAAATGTGGATGGTGTCCGGGCCTGCATGGTGGTTGAGACTAGGTGTCTGCTTATGTGATGACCTTTACTGCTGCTGGTTTGCAGTCAACACATAAATAAGTTTACAATAAGGGTCTGTTAGTTCATTTATTTACAAACATAAACAAAACAATAAACAGTACATTTATTACAGTACTTATTTATTTTGTTAACATTATTTAATGAAAATAAAGTGCATTAACTAATGTTAACAAGTTGGATTTTAATGATGCATTAGTAAATGTTAAACTATGATTAATACTTGCTGTACAATTATTGTTCATTTTTAGTTCATGTTAGTAAACACATGCACTAACATTAATCAATGCTTTCGACTTATTTTAATGAGGGATCTTGTCGGTCATTTGTGCTCTCCTCAATCAGCCCTTTAACCTACTAAATTCCTCACTGAGCACTCTAAGGTGGCACTCCCTATATCCTAGTACTGCTATTGTGGGCCAAATAAATATGGAATACCAACAATGTCAACATTTACACACAATTATCCCTATTTCAATAAACACATTTTACAAATTTTTCAGTTCAGCCATCAAAGTGCTCTCCACTGCAGATTAGCACTTCCACCTCTGTCAAGGATCTTCCACTATCACAGATTGCAATCTTCAGTCCTACATTCATCTATCCCAGATAAGACAAAGACTTTCAATAATCTAAACCTGAACTGAACCTCATTTCACAAGCCTGTCAAAAAAAAAAAAAAAAAAATCTTGTTTTGCAATAATTCCTGTTATATGCGCATTATCAAACATCAATTTATCAGAAAAAAAGTGTAAATATAAAAGAAGCAAGTGCTGTTAAAACCATTTTTTTCTGTGAGAAACATCCTTTCATCTTTGCATTGCTGCAGGACCCAACCAGATTTTTTTGTGGCGCAGGAATAAATGGCAGAGTAAAACTCTCGTGTCATTTAAATGAGAGCTTCGGTCTAACAATAAAGCGCTCCCAAGTCCCAACATTATTTCGCAACGGCATATCTGTGATTTCCTCGTTCCTATTGAGCAATAATAATGCAAAAATGCAAAAAATTACACTTTGCGCGATGTGATAGGCTTCAAAGTTTTACCCTTTAGCAGTCACAAGACTGGAACCTGCAGGTTTAAGGCGACACTCATGTCTCATCACAAAGGGGCAAACAAAACTGACATTTAGCCTACAATCCTTGTACAACCTACAGTTTTATCTGTTATCTCTCTCTTTTGGTGGTACCCAATTTAAACATGAGATGTTGGAAACCAGATCAAAATATAGCGGGTACTGTCGGGTCGGGTAGAAAACAAGGCAGTTTGGGTGGTGGGTGAACAAAGGCTGAATACATGGTGGTAGAAGTCAGGTGTGGAATAATATCTTGCAGCAGCGGGCGGGAGCAGGTCTCAGGCAGATTTCTACTTTCATCTTGGATGCAAATCTCAAGTTGTCGGTTTAACATTTAAGCAAAAGCCCATGTTGTTAATTTGATAGCATTACCTTAGAACTATAAAATAGGTTCAAATTCACCATGCATTGATTTGTAACACCAAATGGTGTGAAACAAAATCAATAAATCAATCTCTTTTACACATTTTTGTAATATAACACTATACACAGTGTGACTTAGTGATATGTAAATTTCAAATGTGGGAAAAAAAACAAACAGCTCAATAAGCTGCATGATTGGTGGAACCAAGCAAAAAACTATTTGCAGATTAATAATTTGCATAACTCACAGCAATATATCCCTTGCTTTATGGCCACTATAATAATAATAATAATAATAATAATGATAAAATCATTAGCTGTAAGGTGTGACATGTTATCTTGTATTCAAGACAACATTTTCAAAACTGCAGTTCTTTTTTTCAATGAGGTTTGGCTGTTTGTCCACATCAAATGCAGCATTGGTTGACTGAAACTTACTGAAAACTTTAAAGATTTTCCAAAACTCATCATGATGTCAGCATGCTGTTTTTTCTTTTCTAACTGGTTAACATGGCTGGGGTCACACCAAATGCAGATGCAAATGAGGCCACTTCCAAACGTTTGTGCCAAATGCATCGCGTATTCCATTTCGTTTGCACCGTTCCACCTTTGTTCTCGCTGACTTGCATAAAACATATTTGCAAAATTACATAATTCCTCTTTTGGTGAACCTAGCATGAAAGTGTCATTATCGCCACCTGTTGGTTTGGCATGCCCTTAACATACATCACAGTGCATTTTTTGTGTTTTCACAGAGATCTTTTTTAAAACAAAAACAGCGAAAACTCTCTTTCTAAAAAGACCTGTATATGTACAGTATGAACATGGCATTAGTTTTGTCTTTCTGTTTCCTGCTAAAGTCTAGATTGGATATGTGGCCGGTCGGAAGTGCGATACGCACATCAATATAGTAGCGTTTTTTTTTTTTTTTTATGACACTGTATAACAACAATTAATATTTTACAGTACTGTGACAGTTGGGTTTAGGGTCGGGGTGGGGGTAAACATAAAAAAATAAAAAATAAAAAAAAAACGTATTGGGTAATTAAAAAGCGTAAATAATACTCAGTACAACAACAGTTTTTACATGATGGTTGGGTTTAGGGTTGGGGTGGGGGTAGATGTTTATATAATACAATAAAAGGGAAATTTAATAAATATTATAAATAATTCTTGTTAACTTCCGGCTGGATCCATATCCAATCTAGCAACAACCCCCTATGTGCTTTGTGTGTGTGTGTGTGTGTGTGTCATGTTTTTATTGGTTGATTTAATCATGCTTCTCGTTCTTCATTGGCTGGCCTCATCATGTGTCTTGTTTCTCTGTGGTTGTGTATTTCATGTGATCATTAGCGTTATACCCTTCATGTCTCCCATATTTCTCGTCTAGCATTGTTTCATGTAACTCTGCTGTTGGCGAGGGGATTCCTGTGTTTTTTGTGTGAGTGTGAGTGTGTGTGTGTGTGTTTGTGTATTTTTAGACAACATAATAAACTGCCCTTGGGTTTTTGTACGTTACCTTTAGTGGACTTTGTTGTATAATTATACAACGTAATTGTTTGTCTTTAAAGGAAATTTCTTTTGTAACAGCAATCTTGCAGAAGCACCACTCATGAAGCACAAGAATCTAAGTACATCAAAATGTTTACATACAAACATTTTGTTAATAAACGCATTTACAATGTTTTTTTTTATTTTATTTCCTTTGCATTCCCTTCTAATGTGATAACATAATTATTATTTTTTAACATTTTTGGTTTCCCTTTTGCAGTTTCCGCTTGACTCAAACTGACATGGATGTTTGTATAAAAACGTGATGATTCATGCTAACACAGCTTGATTTTGTAAAGAGCATCTTGTTTGCTTCAGTAGAAGCAAGGAGACTGACCTTTACAAATTAGATAACATGGCAACGTCAAAATTTTCTTATCTGATTAACGACTTAGAAATAGTGAAGCATTTCTTACTCTCTCTTTCTTACATTCATTCATTCATTCATTCATTCATTCATTTATTCATTCTTTCTTTCTTTCTTTCTTTCTTTTGCTTTTTGAAAGAATATGATGATCCATCTATAAAAGCAGTTTCGGAGCTGTAGATAAATGAATAGGGTTAGTATAAATTAATTGGAGATAATAACTGATACACAGTGTTGATTCCCAGGCTACAGACACAAAATTAACAACATTATCCCACAAATCATGTACTGCTTTATTTCATCAGTAGGGACGCACACCAACAATTTATCCTCTTAAGCGACATCACAGTGTTGTGGTGGAAATGACACTGATTCTTTGCGGCAGCTATAATTTGTATAAAAAAATAATATTGATAATAGTCTCACAATAATAACAGGCACTTTTATTTATGTCCTTTGATCGAATATAAATATATATATATATATATATATTTATATTCGATCAAAGGGCATAAATAAAAGTGCCTGTTGTTAAAGAATTACCCATATAAGTTTCACATCATTCTTGTTCTTTTATTTTTATCTGTCAGTCATAAACGGGAGCTTTAGAACATATGTTGAAAAAATACATTTCCCATAATCCTTTGCAACACGCATGGCAAGTTAAAGGTTGTCCTGAGTTACCACTCAAAAGCGCATCGCATGTAGAAAAGGGGGAAAGACGAAAATGAAACATTTTCATAAAAAACACTTACACTTGTTTAAACATTGTCATATATTGAAGATGGATATGAATCGAAGTACTCCTGCAATTGAGCGTGTTGATCTAAATGCAGCGTAACTTTTATCGTCCAGCAGTTTTCGCTTCTCTGTCTCTCTGTCAATGAAGTTTCCGTAGTCACACAGTCGAGCTATCGTATCGCCAAAAACATGTCTTATAAACCAGTAACACACGTGCTCTTTGATATGGACGGGTTGTTACTAGGTAGGTGATAATCTGCTTAAAATAAAATATATTGAAACCTTTTTTATCCAGCTTGTTTTTCTGTTAGTGCCTGCAACAAAATCAGAAGAAAAACTAACTCTGTTTCAGTTAAAATTAAATTAATTGAGATTAAATTCAGTTTCATACCTAATTCACGCCAAAGCAAAGTCATTTATCAACAGTTTCTGTAGGCTATAAATCATTACGTTCAGCAATTCCGTTTTACTAGGCTGTACGCCGCAATATAATGTTTTAATGCATTTGTTTCTTGCAGATACAGAAAGATTGTACACAGTCTCGTTCCAGGAAGTTTGTGACAGGTTTAATAAGCAGTATACTTGGGAAGTGAAGTCCTCTGTTATGGGCAAAAAGGCTCTGGATGCTGCCAGGATTATAAGAGACAAAATTGGCCTTCCCATGACCCCTGAAGAGCTCCTAGAAGAGACCAGAAAAATTCAGGAGCGTTTGTTCCCCACAACTTCTCTGCTACCAGGTAATGTCCATGTAGACTTGAAAATTCCTGAAGATGATTTTGAAACAGAAGCAGATGTAGGGTGATGTAGTGCATCATCTTGACCATGTTTGTATCAAAGTCACCATATTGTTAAAATAAGTCAGCTCACTTTGTTAGTTTTTATTTCTGGTGTCTGTTTGCAATGTCTTTTCAGGTGTAGAAAAGCTTGTCAATCACCTACACAAGCATGGCATCCCTATTGCTGTTGGCACAAGCTCAGCAGGTCTGACCTTTGAGATGAAGACCAGCCGTCATAAAGAGTTCTTTAGCCTCTTCAGTCACATTGTGCTTGGAGATGATCCGGACGTAAAAAATGGCAAGCCACTCCCTGATACTTTTTTGGTGTGTGCCAAAAGATTCTCTCCCCCAGCCAACCCTAAACAGGTAGGATGAAGCTACTCAGCTATTGCATTCTATTTCAGTCTAGTCTAATAATTTTATGGAAGCAGTGCAGAAAACCCACAAAATCAAGGAATCAATTTGTACATGAACAAAGACATGCACAAATACAACATGAAGTATTTTGTTACATATTACAAATACATGCTTATCAAATTTATTTAAATAAAATACTAAATGCAGATTTGTGAAGTGTAGGCTTTGATTGAAATACATGTAATGTGTAGCAGTTGTTTCAACATAAGCAGTGGGCACTATGCAGTGTCATTGCTTTTTTGTTTATGATGCTATAATGATGACAATCTTCACATCTGGTGTCTCTGTGATTCTGCATTTGGCTGTTATTGGGCAAAGATTAGAACTGCATCGGATACTTTTTCACTTCTTATTGCAGATTCAATGCTTTATTTCTTAGATTTAGATTTAGAATATGCATTTGACATGTTTATAAGAGAAATATTTTTGTAAAGAAGATATTTTTAATATGTTTTTACAGATCTTTGACTTCGGACATATTTTCCAGATTGAATACATTTTAAAAATGTGTGCATGAATGTACAGTAGGTTGGCAATTGAAAAAAGTGTAGCTTGCTATTTTGGTGGCAACAATGAAGTTTAATTGCTGTTAGCAAAGAATATTTAGCAGCTAAATCATCTAATGCTATTAGATACAAACATACAGTAATTTTGCTAACAAGCTAAATGCATTCATCAGCTAGCACAGAACATTATGCAAGTTTTTGAGCATCACAGCTAACTTGCTAATTTCTGTTTTTTTTTTGTCCTATAATAGCATTCACTGAGTATATTGTTTTACATTTTAAGCTCCAAATCAGTAGCTTTGTTTATTTCAGTTCGCAACCAGCACACTTAATCTAGAAGGACTTGTGTGATTTAAGAGCCAAAAGTAGATTTAGTGATCTTTTTAAAGGGATATTTCACCCAAAAATATAAATGACCTCATCATTTTCTCTCCCTCGTTGTTTTAAATCTTTGAGCTTGTTTCTTCGGTTAAACACAAAATAATAACTTTTAAAGAATGCTGGTTGCTGGAACCCATCAATTTTCATACTCTAGCAATAATTAATAAAAATAAAAATTATTTGTTAGTCAATGGGTCCCAGAAGCATTTTTTGTGTTCACCAAAATAAAAGAACTCAAATACTGTAGGTTTAGAACAAGTGAAGGTTGAGTAAATCATTTAATTTCTTTGGGTGAACTGTCACTTGATGATCAAATTTATTTGATTATTTGACAATAAAATGACCTATTAGATTATGTTTTAACAACAGGGATGGGAAAAAAATACATAAAATATGTATTTAAAAATAAAATACCAGATAACTCAGTTTTACATCTATCAAAATAAACTTTAAAATTCAGCAGCCAAAAATGTATCAAAATAAAATACTCTATTTTGTAATTTGAAAATACTACAAAATATGTTTACATGGGAGTATAAGGTTTCTTTGCAAACCTTTTATCAATGATATATTCAATCAACCCTTTCATCATGAAACTGATTTAAGGAAGTAAACAATGTTTGACAGCAACAACATTTCTCTAAGTTAAAGTCAGCTTCTTTGCCAACTCATTCACCTCTACTCCTGTACATGAGGAGGTATTCATAAACTTGTTTCTTTTTGATTTTAGTATCGATTTTGTACAAATTTTATACAGTAAGTCATGCTCTTGAGTTGCATCCTAAAAGTACAGTATATCTCTTTATTTAGTTTCCATCTATTGCGTTGCCAGTAAAATTAAGACCATCTCTTAACAGTTTTATATATTTTGAAAGGATGATATTTGAAGAGGTTATTTATTGATTTTTTTTTTTTTTAGTTTTTTGCAATTGAAATCTTCAATACTTAATTTAAAAACTGCCATTTGAAACAGCCAATGAAGTATTGTAGGTGTCGCCACTGTATTTTAATGTTGTTAATGTCTTATTTTCTTACCATCTATTGTACTTCAGCAATTCATCAAAAACTACTATTTTTTGTTTCTCATTCTCCCAAAATTTTTTCAGTTTTTCTTTAATTGGAAGAGTCTCAGTTTAACCCCTTAGTACACACTATTGCACCATCTTTAGGTGTTTTTTTAATTTTTAAACTTCCAGGGCTGAGAATGATAATGGTTTTATGCTAAAGTCTCCATATTCCTGTTTTTGGTCTGAAATTTAATTTCGACTCATTTCTTAAGCAAAGATGCAAATGCATTGTACACTATGCTACCATTACATATTACTGGTCTTAGCATTGTGCAGTGTTATTTTTTTAATGATTGTGGACTTGCTCCCAAATCTACTCCTGCCACTTGCCTGTTTTTTTCTTTATGCGTGTTGCATATTTCCATCTATGAGCCAAGCATTGGACACCTTTTTCAATATTAATTAGTTTTCTGTTCTGATCTCAAACCTAGGCAAATAACTAAGAAAGCACCAATCAGAGGCCACATTCTTATATCATCTTGTAGACTTCTTACAAAGTATTTTATAGTATTTTAAAAATACAAAACACTAAAGTATTTTGATACAAGATATTAACCCATTTTCATAAACTCCATAAAATACAAGTTACAAAATACTATATTGTATTTGAAATACTTGTGTCATAAATACTGGCCATCCTTGATAAACAAAATACAGTCTATCAAGCTATAATTATAATAATTATTACATCTGACTATTTTTTATTTGGCCCAGGACTATACAAATTACGAAATTATTTACAAATTCATTAATTTTCCTTCAGCTTAGTCCCTTATTTATCTGGGGTCACCACAGCGGGATGAACTGCCAAGTATTCAAGAATATGTTTTATGCAGTGGATGTCCTTCTAGCCATGATTTACAAATTTAAATATTTGAATGCATATTTTAAATACACAATTAAAATAATTCTAATCTCCAGTTACAAAAATATTTATTATGTCAATAATATTAAAACACACACATACAAAAGCTGTTTAAATATGTTGTTTGCAAGTTCAGCATGTCTGTGTAAATGACTAGAATAATCTATCACTATATAGTGAACTCCTAAAGGGCTACTCTATTTTCTTTAATTTCAATTCACAGGAGTGAAGCTGCCAAGTTTGCATGCTGGCTGCCACCTCATTTTTGACAATACCTAATCAAGTATAAACAGTAGCTGCTGTTGAAAAGGCAACTGCCTAGCAAGAGTAGATTTGGACATCAGGAGCATACCTAAATAGTTTACTGACATCTTGAAGTATGATGGTATGCTTAATTAAAGGCACTGGTTTCCTCACAAGCTTGGTTAAGAATTGATTTTTGAGCTGGTTTAAGAAACTGTATATTGCTGTTGGTTGTTCTGCTTAATGAGGTGTGGTTAAAATAATTGAAAGATCTTATGCATCACAAATTAGTGTACTCTCAGTGCTAGGTTGTGGCTGGAAGGGCATCTGCTGCGTAAAACATGTGCCAGAGAAATTGGTGGTTCATTGTGCTGTGGTGACCCCTGATAAAACCAAGGACATATTAAGAGAGTGAGATCTTATGCACTACTGTTCAAGTTTAAGGTGAGTAAAATAAACCTTTTATTAACTAATGATGCATTGAATTTATAAAAAGGACATTAAAAACAATAATAATAATATTATAGAAGATTTATTATTGAAAAACTAATTTTTTTATCTTTCTAATAATTCTTATTAAAGAATTACAAGCAAACAAACAAACAAACAAACAAACCCTTTATTAACATACACATATAATATCTAATGTGGAAAAATAAATAAATATTGTGAATACTTTTAATTTCACACGTTTATTTCTTATCAAATAAAGCATTGCTCATTATAAGAGACTTGGTCTTTTCTGTCATTCATTCATTCATTCATTCATTCATTCATTCATTCATTCATTCATTCATTCATTTTCTTTTCGGCTTGGTACCTTTATTTATCTGGGGTCACCACAGCGGAATGAACCGCCAACTTATCCAGCATATGTTTTTACACAGCGGATGCCCTTCCAGCTGCAACCCATCACTGGGAAACATTCATACACACTCATTTACACAAATACTCTACGGACAATTTAGCCTACCCAATTCACCCATAGTGCATTTCTCTGGAAGGTGGGGGGAAACTAGAGCACCCACGTGAACACAGGGATAACATGCACACTCCACACAGAAATGCCAACTGACACAGCCGAGGCTCGAACCAGCAACCTTCTTGCTATGAGGCGAACATGCTACCCACTGCACCACCGTACAGCCCCAGTCTTTTCTGTCAGTTTTGATCAATTTGATATGTCCTTGCTGAATAAAAACTGCCACTGTGTGGTCACTCTTTCAGTCACCAGAGCCCTTCAAGAACATCAAGGACCAGGTCTCACTTTATTAGATATTTAAAAAGATTAGTAAAGTCAAATTCAGTGGTCTTTGTTTGCCATCACCCAAAATCCAATTAACCTCAATGGCAGACTGTTTTCATCTGTTTATAATTCTAGTTGTTTAAAATTAGTAGTTGATGCACCTCTTCCCTAATCTTTTACTTTCTTCTGCAAGTCATCAGCAGCTAATTAGCAACTTTAAACCCAACTGTGGTATGAGAAAATTAGCTAGCATTTTTTTTCTTTCTTTCTGTAACCAGCTCAACTGAATGTTTGCCTTCTCCATTCTTGTATGCCTTAATATTAAAATGCAAATGAAAGCACCATCAATTTATTTGAAAATCTGTATAGTGAGACAAACCATTCAAAGCTGCTTGTTCCTGTAAGTATGAAGCCACTCATTTTCTTTTTAATTGCCTCACATGATGCTTGCTAACGTCTAGCAGGAAATAATCAATTACAAATAGGGATTAACTAGGATGAATGTTTCATTTTATACTGCCATAAAACTTGTCCCTGAAAAGAAAGGTAAAAGTGGGCATTGAAAGGATAGAAGAGAGTGCCAGAAAGGACATACAGGAATTGACTTGTTTCTTTTGTCCTTGAAAGAATTATATGTGAAT